TGTCACACTATCACTTTTTCCGTCAATTTTTTGACAATTTTATTTAACATAAATACAAACATTCTCGAATATAGCTCTTGATTTGACTATGCATTGCTGAAAAGGTTGACGAAAGGTTTTCAGACGGAAACGATCATTCTCGTTGACTGGAAAATCGACAGTTCGCTCATAAATGGACAAAATTTCAGAAAATTGTCAAAAAATTGACGGAAAAAGTACGTGTGACTGCACCGTTATGGCGAAGGCTAGATCAGTAGCAACTCGAGGTGTTATGTCGTCTGATTTTTTTTTTTTTTTTTTTTTGGGGGGGGGGTACATTTTGAGGACGTCAAAAAGTTACGGATGCTTTGTGAATATAATCGATCATTTTGGTATATTCATTTTTCAAAAAGGATGGAAAATAAAGGATTTGATGGTTATATTTTCGTTGAACAATCATCAAAACAGACGCCATGACACCTCCTCGAGTTGCTCCTGTTAGCCTCCCCCCCCCCCCCGATCTTATATCTAACACTTACCCTGTATAGTCCTAAAAAATGGAATGAACGCAAGATATGTCCATCAGAGTGGGTTGGAGACTAAGGTTGGGGTGGGGTGGGTGGGTGGGTGGGATTGGGTTGAGTGGGTGGGGGGTGGGGTTGGGTTGGGTTGGGTGTTGTTGGGTGGGGTGGATGGGGTGGGGTGGGCTGGTCCTAAAAAAAATGGAATGAGCGCAAGATATGTCCATCAGAGTGGGTTAGAGACAAAGGTTTTGGTGTCACAAAATTAAAGTTGTGTTCCAAAGTCTTCTATTAGATCTCAGAAAACTGATAATGAGGTTTTAAGAGTCAGTCTTGGGGTACGCCGTCAAAGATCTCACGGTAGTCTATCCAAGCAACACAAAAGTTGTGCATATTATTCCATTTTTTATTTAGTTTCAAGGATCATTTTGCCCATTGACAATTATCGTTCTTAACACCTGTATGACACTCTCTCACATCTATCTGGTAGGAAAAAGGTTGTTGTTCTCAATGAAACTGCAAATTCGTTCAGTCAAGGTAGAGGGTAGTTGTATGTTCTACTAAGGCAGGAATTAAAGGCGCTGTCACACTAGCACTTTTTCCGTCAATTTTTTAACAATTTTATTTAACATAAATACAAACATTCTCGAATATAGCTCTTGGTTTGACTATGCTTGGCTGAAAGAAATTGACGGAAAGGTTTTCAGACGGAAACGATCATTATCGTCTGACTGGAGAATCGACAATTCGTTAAAAAATGGAAAAAAAAAATCAGAAAATTGTCAAAAAAAATTGACGGCAAAAGTGCGAGTGTGACGTCACCTTAAGCCTGTAGCTTTTAGAGGGATTGGTGCCAGTAACACGCTGGTGTCTACAATGCCATGGAAAGGCGAATCTGTCACGCTTCTCCCTCCAAAGACACCATAGCATACAAGACAAGATGTATGAAAGTATACATGTATGAATATATACATATACACAACCACACACACACGCATATGTGTGTGT